TAGGGAAGGTTATTGGTTGGGACAAAATTGGGCCTAGTGGGCAAATTATTCCAATGGAACAATTTTACCCCTTTGGGATATTTTGAGTGGGGTAAAGTGGGATAAAGTGGGATAATGGGATAATTTGAGCCTTTGATTTGATAATTCATGTAGGACAATTGATGATGTGGGACCTTATTAAAATATAATTTTATCTATTAATTATTTCTAAATTAACTTATCCAATTGGTTTAGTATATTATTTATTATATTATTATAATATAAATATTATTTTACTTTATATTAAAATATAATATGTTGTACTATACTTACAAATTACTATTATTAATTATTATATTGTATTATATTATATTATATTAGCATGCTATACTATATATAATAATTAATATAATATATTAGTATGCTATATTATATAATAATTGATATAATATATGAATAATATATATAATATAATACTTTAATAACACTATGAAATAGAATCACCAAAATTATCCCATTATCCCCCAAAAAATCCCAACCAATAACCCCCCCTTAGTAATCTCTTCACTCTCTCTCTCTCTCTCCTCTCTCTCTCTCTCTCTCTCTCTCTCTCTCTCTCTCTCTCTCTCTCTTTAGTTTGCTTCTTAATCTAGCATTGTCTTGGACCTTTTATTTATAATATGTCTAACTCTAAACGTCCTAGATTCGGTAGATACGATGGTTTGGCCTCCAAAATTTCACATTATGAACGATATCTTAACAACCCTCAGCTTATCCCTAAATATCGTCATATCTATTAATTAACTATGTTTCCAGGGAGATTTGTTAATTTTTGTGATTTTTCTAATAATCAGTTTCATACCTATTTTGATAAAGTTAAGTTGCATGACTTGGTAGCTCTTTCAAATCAAGTACCTTATTATACAAATCTAGTTCACTTGTTTTATACAAATATGCAACTTGAACACACTGATGATGGAACCCCTTTTATCATGTCCCGTGTTAAAAATCACATTATATATTTCACCAATATTGAATTAGCACAAATTCTTAACATTCCTACGGAGGATCGTTTCCTGGAAGATGTAGAATTTGATGATCCTTCTATAAATTCAGTAATATTTCTTCCAGGAAAAGATAATCCAATGTCAAATAGCTACATCACTCCCATTGCCAAATTCATTGCTAGAATTATCTTGTGCAACATAATTTCTAAAACTTAGAGTTATGATCACTTCTCTCATGAGTTAACGTGTGTTATATATGCTATCATTGGGGCTCTTAATGTTCAATGGAGCAAAGTTATTTTTGATGGTTTGACTTGTAATAACACCAAGTTTCTCCATTTTGGTTCCCTTCTCACTACAGTTTTCAAACACTTCAACATTGATCTCACCAATGAACAGTCTATCAAGCATATTCATGAAATATTTGACCGCACTAGTCTCTCTAGGATGAAGCTACCAGAATATCTTTCCAATCCTCAAGCTCCTGTAGCTCCTCCAGTTGGTGAATCCTAATCTCATCCCTCTAGCTCAAGGACTCGCTCTCGTCCTCCTCATGCTTAAATTTCTAA